GATCGGAAGCACACTGGAGACCAAAATACTGATTTACGGAGCTTCCTGGTACAAAACGCTCGTATAAATCCTGTAGAAAATTCAAAATCAAGGGGGTACACTGTCCAATTTGGGCAAAATCAGTTGGTTTTTATCTTCACACGCAAACGCCGTGTTAAAATTAGCTTTTGGCCTAAAAGTATTCTAAAGCGCCGGAGATGACGTTGCTAACTGAGACCCCCAGAACAGCACTGGTTCCGGGAGTAGTGGGAACAGCAGTATTCCTTGAGTAGTGTAAATAGAGACGCAGTGGCATCTTTTCTTGCCAAAGAGCAGCTGTGCTGTGTTGTTGAGGCTAATAAATATGTATGTTTTACAACGGATCGAGGCATCCGCGTTATTGATAGTACTAGGAAGACCAACAAGAAGGACGATACTAGTAGTCGCAGCCTTCCCCCCCGCGTCTCGTAAGATATCTTTCAAGATCATCAAGGCATGACTTGGCTTCAGCAAAGCTATTGAGAGCATGCTTTCCTCCTGAGGAAAGAGATGAATTGCTACTGCTGGAATCAAAGGAAGATGACGAGGAATCGACATCGATGACAGCAGCTCCTGTCAGCACCGGTGGCAGTTCAGTCAGTGTCAGGGACCAGAAGAGTCAGGAGACAGCACAGCAACAAGAGCGTTAGATTGTTTTGCTTTCTTACCAGATTTAGGAGTAACAAACAACTCATACTCTTCACGTGTCCTTGTTCCCAACATGGAGGGAGGTGTTCCAGGAAGAGGGACGCGCCGGGGATCAGGCTTCGATGCAGGAGCTGCCGACGCAGTCGATGCGGAAGCCAACGCTGATCCCCCGGGGGATGATGTGTCCATTGCTGAGTTTTCAGGGGACTTACACAAATGAATAGACCTGGATTCTTCAATTGCAATAGGCTTTGTAGTGTCTTGTTCCTTCATTTGCTCCTTGAAAACAATCCTGAGGAGCTTCACGGGGATTCCACCGTGTACTCCGTTTAGAATCTTAGGTTGATATTCTGGGTGCATGTCATTTGCAGGAAAGTAGATGACGCCCTCCTCCCAGATGGTTCTTTCCTTGTTGTCCTTGAGTTTCTTGGCATTCATTCCCATTTCCACATAGGAGGGATGATCTCGATGATAGATCTGCTTGTCCGTTTCATCGAGATCCATTGGACAAAGGCTGAAATAGTCACTCATGTATGCCGGCCACTTGATTCTAATCTTGAAGTGTCTGTCATCAATCCAACTAAGACTAAGATCATTTAGTGTTGTAGTTGGATCAAGGCTCATGACAATCTTCACGAAGGTAACAGAATCCTCAAGAATGTGATCCCATACTTTCCAACGAGTTGGGAGCATTGGTCTTGACATGGGCTTCACGAGCCGGGCACCGTTGAGCTTCACACCACTCTCCAGATTGAGGGATCGCATACTTGAGACAAGCACAGCAGCATCACTGCCTGCTGGGGTCTTCTTCCTCCTTGAGGTTGTCGGCGCCATGGGGGTCGAGAATTCTTCCTCTGATTCAGTTTCCGGAGGAGAGGGGTAGGAGTCGTAAGAGGTGTCCACTTCTTCAGCTTGCTCTTCTTCTACAGCAACAGCTTCGACTACTGTTTCTCCTGCTTGTTGTACTTCAACTGTGCTCTTTCGATGCTCCTCAAATGGATCGTGTAGTTCTATTCCTCGGTTTCTAAGATCCTGAGCCAACAGGGACATTCTCTTTAGTACCGGCCGTGGAAAGCAGCAACAAGAAGATCAAGATCGATAAGAAAAAGAACAGCAGCCCCAACAACGACGATACAATACTCTAAGAGTTCTTACCTGGGCAATCTTTGGCCAGCTGTTTGCTTTGATGTTTTCTCGGATGTAGTTGGAAGACCTCCAATTAAACACCGAGCCTGGAGTGTGATTTGGATCCCAGCCTACAGCTCCTCTTGAGTATATGTGATTCCAGAAATTGTAGCAAGCAATCTGCTTTGCTAGAGGTAAATGGTTGTAAACTAGAAGAGGATCCTTCTCTTGGTGAGTTCTTTTCGCTCCACTCTTTGGTTGGTTTCGAGGCATCGTAAAAAGAAAGAAAATGAAAACAATATTTTACTATAATTTATCTATAAATTACAAGCAGCCAAAGGCAGCTCTCCGCTGCACTCAGCAGCGGACTATACGTTTGGTTCTTTCATTGCGCCATTGCTTGTTGCTTGTTGCTTCTTGCTTGCATTGGTCCTCCGGTCTTGGTTACTGCTTTGCTGTGTTTGCTAGAAAAAGTGATTTCGGGACCGGTATTTGCTTCCTAAAATTAACACGAGCTATCGCGTGAAGCTTGGAAAAGCTCAACATTAGCAGCAAGTTCATACTTTATACTGTTTGCGCCTGCAAGGTACTATATATATTGAAGTCCTACGGGATTCCTAATATTTATATAGGTAATGTATATTTTTATATATTGCAATGATACGGGACTGTCAGTATAAAAGTATACGTGATGAATACTATTTAATATATATATAAAGAGGGCAATGCTGTGGGATTGAAGTACAGTTTGCTAGAGCCAGTACTGTACAGTAGGAGCCCCACGCAACGCATGCAGCTGCTGATCCAGCTGCTCAGCGAGCAAAATTGATCTATTTGGATGGATCCTAGTACAAAGCTGTGTAGAAAATCCTGTAGAAAATCGTGGATCAAGGTACTTGCCTTGCCATTTTGGTCAAAATAGAAGGGTTTTGTCTCCGGGTACAAAATTGTGCTGAGGCCTACTGTCGTGACCTTTACGTGCTGATTCCAGTGAACTAAACTGTGCTTTCATTCTAAAGAAAAAACACGGTTGGGAGCAACTGACCATGGGAATCGCTCCATTTCAAGCACTTCCACTCAACCTTATACACTTTACTTGGTATCACTGGATAGCTCTCTTCCATTGTCGATTGAACATGCATTGAACTGTAGAAAAGGACCCAGTAGAAGAATTAAAATAGTGTGTTTAGTGTAGCTTGTCTTTTTCCGACAACAGCATGGTAACCAAAGAAGGTATTGAACTAGTTGCTAAAGAGGTTCTTCGGTGGCCCGAAAGGAGGAAATGGAATGCCAATGACAAGGATATGAGGTTCAGAGCTTGCTTTGGAGCCCCGAGTGAAATAGTAGCAGATATCTGGAATAAAATAGTGGCGCGTGGTCCTATTGATTCTGGTGGACAACCAAAGCATTTGCTTTGGGCGCTTGTTCATCTCAAGGTCTATTCAACAGTAGAGACTCACTGTGCTCTCGTAGGATGGCCTTCAGCCAAGACCTTTTCAAAGTGGTCCTGGTACTTTGTGAAGAGGATTGCAGAGCTGTTTGGTGACCTAATCAGTCTTGACAAAAGATTTGATGGACTGAATGGAGTAGCAAGGACCAACTGCTTCATAAGTGTTGATGGAACAGACTGCCCTGTCTATGAGCCTTGGCCTTTCACCTCCGACATGTATTCCAAGAAGATTAATGGGCCAGGCGTGAAGTATGAAGTAGCTGTTTGCTTGAAGACAGGCCTTATTGTTTGGGTCAATGGTCCCTTCAAGGCAAGTGTCAATGACAATACTATATTTGAGAATGGGCTGGGTAGAGCAATCCATCCGGAGGAAGCTGTGGAAGCAGACAGGGGCTATGGGGGAGACCCTCGTTTGAAGCATCCATCAATGGGGACCAGTAGTCAGAAAAGAAAGATGAAATCAAATGCTCGGGCCCAGCAAGAAGCCGTGAACAGTAGATTGAAACAATTCAATGTGCTCACTACTCATTTCAGGCACATGAAGCCAAACAGGGAGACAATGATGGAGAGACACGGCCAGTGTTTCCATGCAGTTGCTGTGATTACACAGCTCAAGTTTCTTTCGGGCGCAACAGTCTTTGCCGATGGGCTCGATTACGATGTTCATTATTTCTAGCCTCAACAACACAGCGCAGATGCTCTTTGGCAAGGAAAGATGCCACTGCATCACTATTTACACTACTCAAGGAATACTGCTGTTCCCACTACTCCCGGAACCAGTGCTGTTCTGGGGGTCTCAGTTAGCAACGTCATCTCCGGCGCTTTAAAAAATAAGATTTTAGGCCAAAAGCTAATTTTAACACGGCGTTTGCGTGTGAAGATAAAAACCAACTGATTTTGCCCCTTAATTTTAGGATTTCTACGGTACGGTCTTCCGATCTGATTTTAGGCCGAAAGCTAATTTTAACACAGTGTTTGTGTGTGAAGATAAAAACCCTTCTATTTGGAGCAAAATGGCAAGGGTACCCCCTTGATTTGCTGTTTTCTACGGCGTTTTCTACACAGCTTTTGTACTACAGACGTCCAAATAGATCATTTTTGGTCCCCAGCAACCAGCTGCAGTCTTTCCAGTACTACCGGTACGTAGTAGTAGTACTGACGGTCGTTGCTATGGTTTGAGAGATTAAAATTCTAATAAATAGTATACGTACATTTATATAATTTATACTATATATATTATCGTACTTGAATACAAATTATATTTATAGAGAAATTATTGTATCTTTATAAACGAATATATAATATCGGAGTCTCAGATATGGCACGTGCTGATAGGGTTACCACATGTTGACTATATCGCTGCCAAAGATCGACTATGTTTCTACCTTAAATCGACAATGTTTTTACCATAAGTCGACTATATTTTTACCATAAATCTACCAGAAAAAAGCCAGAGAAATTTGACCTAAATGAAAATAGTTTCTCGGGACCCCCTTCTTTTTTATTGAGGCGTTGCGTCGCAGCAAAAATCTACCGCAGTCGAACTAGTCGGAGAGCTGGTAGCTAAGCGTACGTGGAAATTAGTCGTTTCGGAACGTCCCTGCATTACAGTACGGTACGTACCTACGGTACTGCGTTGGTTGGATTCGAAAAAGGGTAGTCTTGCAGCTGGTACACCCTGACAACAGCACGACGAGACAAGACGAGAAACTGGAAGACACGAAAAGGCAAAAAAATTGAAATAAGACCAGAAGGCCACCATTGCGATACAACACGACACGCCACGATACGACACGACAAGCCAAAAACATCAAAACAAGACAAGAAAAGGCGCAACAAAGGCCACCATTGCGATACGGCACAACCGTTTTGACGAGCGGGACCTTTTCCTAGACCAGAGCAAAGCAAAGCAAAGCAAACCGAGGCGAGTCGAATCCAAATCCAGGAGCGACTTGCCGCGCCGCAGACACCGAACCCTCGTCGTTTTTGTCGTGAAATTGGCAACATGGAACGCACCGCGCAGTCGTGTTTGTGTGCGGTGGCCGACGCGATCCAACTTGTGGACAGAAATCCCGTGGCATTGAAATATCTATCGGAGGAAATGAAGGGCAACATCGGCGTTGTGCTCACGGCGGTATCGGGGGAACCCTATGCCTTGCAGTATGCGTCCATGGGACTGCGGAACAGCAGGAAGGTTATCATGGCTGCAGTCAGACAGAATGGGTATGTGTTGCATTATGCTTCGGATGAGCTGAAGAACAACAGGGAGGTTGTTATGACTGCTGTAACACAGAAAGGTCATGCATTGGTGTGGGCTTCAGATGAACTGAAGAACAACAAGGAGGTTGTCATGGCTGCTGTAACACAGCGTGGTGATGCATTGGAATATGCTTCGAATGAACTGAAGGACAACAAGGAGGTTGTCATGGCTGCTGTAACACAGAATGGTGATGCATTGCAGTGTGCTTCAGATGAGCTGAAGAAGAACAGGGAGGTTGTTATGGCTGCTGTAACACAGTATGGTGATGCATTGGACTATGCTTCAAGTGAACTGCAGAACAACAAGGAGATTGTCATGGCTGCTGTAACAGAGCGTGGTAATGCATTGAGATATGCATCAGATGAACTGAAGAACAACAAGGAGTTTCTTATGGCTGCTGTAACACAGCGTGGTGATGCATTGGAGTATGCATCAGATGAATTGCAGAACAACAAGGAGGTTGTCATGGCTGCTGTGACACAGTATGGTAATGCATTCCAGTACGCATCAGAGGAACTGAAGAACAACAAGGAGATTGTCATGGCTGCTGTAACAAAGGATGGTAATGCATTGGAATATGCTTCAGATGAACTGAAGAACAAGAAGGAGATTGTTATGGCTGCTGTAACAGAGCGTGGTAATGCATTGAGATATGCATCAGATGAACTGAAGAACAACAAGGAGTTTCTTATGGTTGCCGTAACACAGTATGGTAATACATTCCATTACGCATCATATGAACTGAAGAACAACAAGGAGGTTGTCATGGCTGCTGTAACACAGTATGGTACTGCATTGGGGCATGCATCAGATGAATTGCAGAACAACAAGGCGATTGTCATGGCTGCTGTAACACAGGATGGCTATGCATTGTACTTTGCATCAGATGAACTGAAGAACAACAAGGAGATTGTCATGGCTGCTGTAACACAAGATGGGCATACATTGGCATATGCATCAGATGAATTGCAGAACAACAAGGAGATTGTTATGACTGCTGTAACAAAAAATGGTGATGCATTGAAAGATGCATCGGATGATCTGAAGGATAACAAGGAGGTTGTTATGGCTGCTGTAACACAGAATGTTGCTGCATTCATGTATGCATCTCTGCGACTGCAAGGAGACATTGATATAGCCATGACTGCATTGGAAGATTGCGCAGGGTTATTGAAATACTGCACGGATATCTTTTTTGTTGGCTGTGCGCAGAGGAGCCTCGGGCATTGAACCGGTGGTTCGGTGGTTTGTTTAGACGCCACGGAACACCACACCCACGACCAAACCCCCCTCCAAGTCCATCAATAGAGCCAACGAACGCGCGGCAGAAGCGCCTTTTGCGGAGGTATTTCCCAGGCGACCATGACACGACACGACACGACACGACACGGCCACATCGTGCCAGGCCATCAACGAGGCGCGGGTTGGGTGGGTTGGTTGTTTGGATCGTTGGCTGGTTACAAACGTTAGGCAGCAAGCTCGCTAGCGATCGCCACACCGAACTCTGTGCACGGAACAGTCCCATAGTTCTTTGCCCGGTTCTCGATCTCGTGGTCGACCAGCGTCGTTCTTGTTGCACTCGACCCACGGGTGGAGACACGCGACATTCCGCGTCGCCTACGACAAACAACGAGGAATGGAAGCAAACCAATGCACACACAAAATCGTAGATCGAGACGGAAACGAAAATAGTAGAATGAGTATTACGAAGGATGTATAGTCCCTAAAGGATAGATCAGAGATCGCTCTCAACGCACAACGCATTGCTGAGTACAGGGTGCGAGTTTGATTTCGAGTAGATTGTTTTTGTTATTATTGTGGCAGGCATTGAATTCTCCGGTGTTGTAGTTTCGGGCGTTGTATTTTCTGGCAGTCAGTATTGTTATTTTTGTTGTTCTTCCAACCGTCGCCTTGGCCGTCGCCGGACCGGAAGCAACGCAAACAACACGTCGTGTACAAACAACACGCCACGAACCAAAGGATGCGAGCCTTGGCACAAACTCGATCTTTGTATTTTTTTTTTCTGCATCGGGGCGCAGTGGTGCGGCACCGCGTTGTGCGATGCTCCGCCCGTTCTCGGGATTGCAAAAGTGCGTGCGGTATTTCCTGCGGCATGGCCGTTGCGTCAAGGACAAGGTCGACGGCCCTCCCTGCAGGCTCCGCAAGGCCGTCCCGGTTCCCCCGTATTGTCTTGCTTTGCCTTTTGCAGCCTGCGCTTGCGTCTGGATCCGTTGCAGCGCAGATGTCGGCGCTGCGTGTACGCATCGAATCCAATGCAACCCAAACCGTACCGGCGGCGGGGGGGGCGCCTTCCAACGTCGACGGCACGGTCGACGACCGTCGGTGGGCGGGATTCCGGGGTTTGCAATGGCTGCCTTCGAAGAGTGCCGGCAACCGACGACGCCTTGCGTTCCGGATCGGGCAGATCGGTGTGGCGTTTCGTTGTGTTTCGTTCCGTTCCGTTTCGTTCACGAATTTCAGATTTTGGATTTTTCCTTTCGAAAATTCTTCGAACCGTAAGTGCGTAGTACGTACATTACGTCCGTTACGTACGGTATGACAAGATCTACGGCAGGATTCTCGACGGACGCATAGCATGTACGATACCGATGTCATGGTACGGTACGGTAGGACACTTCGATACGTTCATACCCACAAGCAACCACAGACGAGCAAAATGCAAACGATTCCGCATTGCTATGCAGCTAAGTACGAGTACTTCTAGTATGGAAGACAGTACTACGCAACCCGTCGTGGTTCGGAACCGCGTCTAACCCTATCTTGTTTCTGGGCCAATCACGGATCGTTCCCTTTCAAGAAATCGTTTTGATTGGCTGTTTCAAAAAAGGAAGAACGGTGGGTTGACACCCGATTATTCCGTCGTACGACCCGCGATGTCTGTTTGAGGGTATCTTCCGACGTTGCGGTTCAGTCTAGTACAACGCTGTACAATACGATACAAAACGGTTCCCCATTCGAACAAATCCGTGATTGCAGCAGGCAGGGTAGGCAGAGGACGAGTAACCCGTACTTGCACTGCTACTCCTACTCACTCGCATGGGGGTACTAACGGTATCCGTTTTGCCAGGGGCCCAGATTTTATTCGTTCATCTTCAAGATCGTGATCAAGCCGAGTTCTTGACGCCAAAAAAGCAGGCACCATCGACCGCAACAGTGACTGAGACACTACAAGCACAAGCTAGATACACAAGAGCAGCATCGCACGGCAGGATAGAAGCAACAAGAACCACCGCCGGCATCCGCAAAAAAGCATCACCACCACTCGAGCAGACCGTTACACTACGCTAGACTGCTCTACACTGCACTGCATTTCGGCACAACACTCCACTCCACGAGACCGAACAATACCACACAAGACAAGACAAGACAAGACAAGACAAGAGATGAAGATCGCCTCTCGCAACTCGGCACTGGCGGCAGCCCTCTGCCTCGCGGCGTCGGCCCTGGGAGGGGCCCTGGCCTTTGCCCCCCACCACGCCGCGCGGAGGGCGCCAACGGTCCAAAGCAGCAGCAGCAGCACCTCCCTCTCCGTCAAGATCCCCCGGGTGGAACTCCCCGAGGCGGTCGCCAGCCAGCTGGGCGAGTTCGACCTGAAAAACCCCAACGCCATGAACGACGACGACTACCGGAGCTACTCGGGCGCCGCCATCGCCGGGACCCTGGCCTTTTCCCTCCTGCCGGGGGCCCTGGTCTCCGGCATCTACAGCGACCTCGGGCCCGTCGCCATTGCCACGCTCATCGACTTTTTGTTCTCGGCGATCGTCGGCGGCGGCCTGGCGATCTACCTGTCCCTCCGGAAGGACCAGATCGGCGAGACCGTCCGCTCCTACGGCAACCAGCTGCTCTCGGCGGCCAAGGACGCCACCGGGATCGGGACCCTCCGCTACGACCTCCCCGTGGCCGCCACCGACGTCTTGACCGGTGAACTGGGCCTCCTGGACCCCAACAAGATGGACGAGGACGACTACGACGGGTACTCCGGGGCGGCCGTCGCCGGGACCCTCCTCTTCTTTCTGCTGCCCGGGGCCCTCGCCACCGGCGCGGCGGGAATCCTGGGGGACTTTGCTTCCTCGGCGGCGGTCGATTTCGTGCTCTCGGCCCTGGTCGGGGGGGGCGCCTGCATCTACCTCTCGCTCCGCAGGGACGAGGTCGGGGCGACCGTTAGCCAACTGGGAGGGCAGTTCCTGGACGTCGTCGACGGGGTCCTCGGAGCCGAGGAGGACACCAAGCTGCTGGAGGAGTAAGCAAGCACGCACAAGCGTTGTTCCGCAAGCATTGTTGTGCCTCGTGCTTTGCCGCGACGTGTCTGCCCGTTGCAACACACACACACACACACCGCGGCGAGTGCATCATCCCGCATCGATGGAACAGGGAGAAAACAAAAAAGCCACTGTTTCGAAAGGCCGGGACGAATCCATAAAACCAGACGTATAGTACTACTAGTAGTTATAAATCATTAGAAAATTTGTTGCAGTGGCAAGATGGATCAAGGGAAAGTAGTGGTACCAATAGCAGCAACAGTAGTATGAGGAGATACTAGTAGTCATTCTCCGTTCATTCATTCTTTCTTTGAGACAACACGCAATGTTGACAACAACCAAATTGTTCGTGACTCTGAATACTCCTAAAGTTGCAACAGGATAGATATCGCTGGGCTGAGCATAATCATTATTGGGTCAGAACAATTTGGCAAATGCCCCCCGCAACCACCTACTGCGGCATGTTGCTGCAATGTTGCTGCAATCGGAAGGTTCTGTCCCTGCATTCGGTATGTTGAGAGGCAACCTAGGCAATCATTGGCACATTCTCCTTGCTAGAACTTGAAAACTTTCAAATTGGAGCAGGAGCTATTTAAGAATTACTACCTACTGTACATACCTGCTATTGGTTCGCTTGGGAAGATGTCTGTTATTTTTTTCATGTCCGTGATACGCACGAGTATTTACGGCACGGTGACAGATCCCCACAACTTCAACTGCTACTACGGCACCGTTATGAACTTTCCGTCTGCAAGATTTTTTTCGGCGCAAGCAAGCACGCCAAAAGCATGTTGTTGTACCGTACGTACCGTACGGTATGATGCGTGATTGGACGGCTAACGGTAGTAACGGTACGGTACGTGTTCGGTACGAGTATCTTTCTCGGATGATTCCGAAAACAAAGACACACGTTTTCCCTTTTTCTCGTGTTCGACCAATAAGTGTGCGTCGACTGTGCTAGCTATGGTACGTACGAAACCTACGGTACGGGAAACATCGCATTCCGCCTCGATCTGGTGCTGCTCGATTGACTCATTCACGAACCTGCCGCTGTTCCGCAACGCAACAGTTTAGTTTCACGACCTTCCCAATCCCACCGGCTCTGTCCTCGCATTCGAAGCACAGTGCATACCGTACGCACCATCGCACAGCCAGCCTCGCCTCGCCTCTCAGCACAGCACCAAACCTACCGCATCGTATCGCCTGCCATGAAGATCGCCGCAGCATTGTGCTCTCTCCTCTTCGCCGTTGGGCTGTCGCCAGCGAACGCCTTTGGAACCGCCGCGCGGGGAGGAAACGGGCTCCGGCGCCCCTTCTCTGCTTCCGCGGGCCCGAAGGCGTCCCGGGCCCCCGGCCCTCTATCCATGGCCCCCGATCCGCTGGGAGAATCCGGAACGGGCGGCGGCGAACCGGTCGTCATCGGCAAGGACTTTCGCCTGAGCGCCATCTTTTTGTCCGCTGGACTCCTCCTGGACCAGATCCCCTACCTGCAGCTGACGCTGGGGCCGCTCGTGACGGTCCTGGGGGTCCTCTTTCTGGTCCAGACCTTCCGGCTCAACTTTGTCTGCGACGACAGGGCCTTCTCGCTGGAGGACACCACGAACGAGGACTCGGTGGGAGAAAACATTGTCGTCGGCGGCGAGAACCGGTGGGACTACGACTCCTTTGTCAACTTTGAGTTCTTTCCCAAGGGGTGGATCGACCAGCCCCAGGGGCCCATCCTGGTGTACTTTAAGGAAACGCAGACCCCGTCGGGTAAGTAAGGGAGAGACCGGTGTCGGTACCCGTTTGGTTCCGCGCACCGCCTGCGGCAAAGGGACGACAACCCCGTGTTTCTCGTTGCCAACCCAACAAAACTCACAATCGATCCGTCCCTTTGTTTGTTCGTTCGTTCGTTCGTTTCGCGGGGATTTTTTCGACAAAATCGACAACAATCACCACAATCACCACCACCACGAAAACGTACCTTCAGACAAGTGGAACGAGGGACCGGGCGCCTCGGCCAACTCGGACAAGGCGCTCTCCGAGGGGGCCGTCCGGGGCCAGGTCCACTTTTTCCCGGCGCTCTGCGACACCCAGCAGCTCCGCTCGGTGTGGGAAAAGAACTGCGCCAAGCTGTGAGCGAGCGAGCGAGCGTGTGGGGACGGAACGCCCCGAACCATTGCGTGCGCGCAACCGGATTCGTTGGGTGTGGTGTGGTGTGGTGTGGTTTGCTTTCATTTGATTTGATTTGCTTTCGCGGGGTTTGGTGTGCCGGGGGATTTTTGCACAAGAGCGAGCCACCCGCTGTGGCACCGGCTAGGTGCGCTGCCGCTTTGAAACCATTCCGTGCATCGCATCGCATCCCACCGCATTGCATCGCATTCAAAAGCATTCCTTTGGAATTGTTGCGCATCGCTGACGCGCACTGCCAAATGGCCCGATGCAGTTGGTCTCGGTTTCCATCGGCAAAACACACTAGCTGCGGTACGGCTTTGTCGCAAAATAACAGAACTAGCACTTTTTTTCCTCATTCAATCATGTGGTTTTCGTAGAATGATGACAATGTTCGACGAGTTATAGCAGCGACAAAGAAGGCATTCGAATTGTATAGGCACTGCGGCTCGCCGACAGATTTGGATCGGGAGGAGGGGGAAGATGAGAGCGAACAGCTCTTTCTTGCCGCATGAGCAGTGCAGCTTTCTCGAAATCTGTTGCATTCTAGTGGGTACATTGCATTGTACCAGAAAAAAAATCTAAGGCTATTTGGCAGTAGTGTTGCTTTAGTTTTATGCGTGCTTGTGGTTGTTTACTTTTGCTTCGGTTGCCGCAGATCTACAGCTCCGCCGAGATGCTTTCCTTCACCCCGTGGACACGGCCCCCGGCGTCTTCGTAGGCGTTGTATCCCAGGTCGGGGTTCGCCGCCCCGTCGTTCATCTCGTTCGCCAGCTCCCGCAGGAGCTCGGCCTCCATCTCGGCCTCCTCGTTGCCGAGGCCCTCCTCGCTGAGGAAGCGCTCGGCGTCGAGGGCGGCCGCGGCTCCGCTGCCGGCCGAGGTAATGGCCTGGCGGTAGACGGCGTCCGTGACGTCCCCGGCCGCGTAGATGCCGGGAACGGAGGTTTTCGTGCTCTGTCCGGTGGTCTTGATGTATCCGGCGTGCTCGGGGTCGAATTCCACGACGCCCTCGAGGAATCCGGTGTTTGGGGAGTGGCCGATCGCGACAAAGACAGCGTCACAGCTCAGCGTTCTCGTTTCTCCCGTTTCGACGTCCTTCAGAACGGCACCGGACACGATTTTGTCGCCGTCGTCGGCCGTCGACGGATCGTCCAGGTCCAGTTCCTCGCTGTCGTCCTGGCTGCTGCCACCGGGGGTGGACACCGATTTGCCCACGATCTTTTCAACCACCGTGTTCCACTGGATTTCGATCAGGGGGTGGTTGATCACCCGGTCGGCGAGAACCTTGCTGGCTCGGAAGGTGTCCCGTCGGTGGACCAGCGTGACCTTCTTCGAGGTTCGCGCCAGCACCAGAGCGTCTTCCATGGCGGTGTCTCCTCCCCCCACGACCACGACGTGGCGGCCGGAAAACAAAAATCCGTCGCAGGTGGCACAGGACGAGACGCCTCCCCCGCGCAGCTCGTGTTCCCCGGGAATTCCTAGCCACTTGCTGTCGGCTCCGGTGGCAATGATGACCGAATGGGCCTCGATGGCGCCCGTCGAGTTTCCGTAGACCTTGAGAGGCCGGGACGAGGTGTCGATTCGCGTGACAAAGTCGTCCTCGATCTTGGCCCCGAACTTGATGGCCTGGGAGCGCATGGCGGCAATGACGGCGGGACCCGTGAAGTTGGCCAGGCCGGGGTAGTTCTCGACGTCGACTCCCTTGCCCTGGAGCTGTCCCCCCATGGCCGGCGCAATGATGAGCGGGGTCAGGCCCGCACGTGCGGCATAAATAGCCGAGGACATGCCGGCGGGACCACCTCCGATCACAATGACCTTCTCGGGGAAGGAACCGCGGATCCATCGGCTGGCATTGTCCTCCAGGGAGTCCTCTTCCTCGATGTCTTCTCCCTCGACCTCCTCGTCCCGGGCCTCGTCCTCTCGTTTTTCCAATTCGGCAAGCAATTGTTCCTTCGTAGCCAGGTGTAGGTTCGGAGTATTGCTCTTCGATCTAGGCTGCGCCTTTTGGTTGTTTGTGGGTGTGTCGGTCGGGGATCCTTTCTCGTCGCCCTCCGTCTTCTTTGGCTTGGGCACGAAGAGTTTCTGGGTTTCCGGCCGTTTCTTATACTTTTTCTTCAGTTTGTAGGCCAGTGTGTTGGCGATGGATCCCTGGCAGAATTCTTTTCGGCCCTTGCATTTGTTATAGACCGCCTCGATGTCTTCGTCGGTCTTGCTGGGATCCATTTCCGCGTAGAAGGCTTTGAGGTCGTCGAGCAACAGCTTGGTGTTTTCGGTCTCGGCCTGTCGGACGGCCTTGTTGGTGTACTGTCTCAGTGCGGCCTCGCCGATGCCTCCCTTCTCGTCCTGCACCTTTCGTCCGCCGACAAACCAGTAAAAGGTTGGAAGAGATCGCACCTGGTACCGAGCAGACAGCTCGTGCTGCATGTTGGTGTCCACCTTGACAAAGACGGCTCGGTCCTCGAATTCCTTGGCGACCTTCTTGTAAATCGGGGCCATCATCCGGCAGGGACCGCAGCCATCGGAATAAAAATCAACGACCACGGGGAGACCCGTCTCTTTCGAATGCTTGGCAAGCAAGCGGTCGAATTCTGCGAGCAATTTTTTTGAGCGAGTAGCATTCGATTCCGATCGGTTCGTGGGACATTTTTTGGAAGAAACAGGGAAAAAGAGAGCCTCGTCGTGAGCAAAAGGATGCAAAGCATTACAAAAGTCATCGACCCATCATGCTTTACAGAACCGAAGCTTCAGAAACGGAACAAAGGCGATGCCAAGGATAGAAAATTACAACGGTCGTCCATTCCACAAATAATGCGAACAGCCCAAAAACTCACCGTGGGCAGAGCGGATGCTTCGAACGATGGGGCGTGCTTCGACCAACCCCGGAAACGATAGCAGCATGCTGGCCATTACACAGGCCAGCATACCCATAATCATCGATCTCGTTCTGCTGAGAAGAACCATTCTTGTTGTGCGTAGTGTTTGTAAGGCACCGTGTGTGAAGAGTGATATGGTGTCGTTTGTGTTGTGACCGATCGGGGAGACTCGTTTCCCTTTTTCGTCGTCGAACAGAAAGAGTGCACGTCTCTGATGTTTTTCGCTTGGGCAGTGACGAATTTTTATTTTTCGAGTTTTTGTACTGGCATTTACTGTACGTTTGCGTAGTGACCCTAGTCTAGTCGTCGTCTTTTTTGCAAACGACTGAACGAAAAAAATTGTCGCGTGGAGGAAAAAAATTGTTTCTCCGTGCAGAAGTTCGAAGAAACGGAAGTGGGAGAAACAACTTCCTTGCTCGTACGTGGTGTCATTACGTATGATGATACAGTAAGGTACGTCAAACTAGTACCAATCGTACCCTTAGCAAAGGGGTGAGGAAAAATGAATGGTGCCCGTGCGTGATAGGTTTTCGTTTTTAGTACAGCACGGTAGGTTTATTCTCACTCCTAAAATTCGGGTCATTCCGAAATAGAGGCAGGAATAATGATGACCTCAAAATTCCTGAAGAAAAATTCAGAATTTTACATGTTTTGTGGCAGAATTATCAGTAACATTGGTATTTTCACTGAATTTGCACAATTTTTCAAGAATAAAAGTGGTTGACTTCACAAAGTAGGACAGGATTGTCCTTTGGTGAGAAGATACAAGAATGTATCTAATCATTATCATAGCAAAAACTTCATTTTTGAAAGAGTCATGGGCCTCCCCCTCCTCATCATGGCAGCACTGCTGCTGGGGGTGGCTACTATTACTAGTAATACTAGTAGTAGTAGTAGTAGTCTCACTGTGTTTGCTGCTACCACAACTGCTTCTCCATGAAAAAATGTATTTGGTGAACTTTAAAAAAATTAATGTACTATCTCTATCAATTGATGCTGACAACAAAAGGCAAAAATTTATTGTTGTCATCATCACCCCCATACTCATAGCAAAGGACCTAGTAGTAGTAGTTTTCATGTGCTATTTGTTGGCCTCACACAACCACAACCATGTTTCATGACAAAATTACTACTGGTAGTAGTACTACTAGTACTACTAGTAGTTTCTTCACAAGGAGTTTAAGTGCTGAATTGGTCATAGCATTTTCCCTATGTTTTGGTTTATTTATGACAAGTCTCCTCGTCACACTGGCTACTATCATTTTGTTGCAGAGGAATTCTTACTATCAATAATTAGTAGCTGAGATTTGGCTGGAGCTGTACTACCAGTACCATCTCTCCAGGGTAAAGAATTGTAGTAGTAGTAGTAGTAAAATTTGGAAAATAATGTAGCCTTCTTCATCATTGTAGCAGAAGACCAAATTTTTGTTGAAGAGTAGTGGGTTCTTCAAACTTCCACTACTGTGACCTCCTTGCTTATCTTTGTTGTTTGGTAGTAGTAATAGTACTTCAAGTTTCTTGTAGTAGTGGGAGTGTTCTTGCTATTGCAAGAATTACCACTTGGTGGAAGATACAAATAATCATGCTAGAAATCAGAAATTATTGTCCTTGTTAAAAATTAATATCACCATTAAAGAGGGACTGCTAAGTGTTCTTGTGAATTACTTATGCTAGTACTACTACTAGCAGAGCAGCCAACATAATCCCCAGGGGCAGTAATGGTTGTTGTTGTACTAAGTTCTACTGGTATTATGTACTGGGTTCTACTAGTAGTAGTAGTATTATTTGTACCATCATTGCTGATAATAAATCAAAAACTACTAATACTACTAGTAGTAATAATGCTTGAGTTTTATAAAAAACTTGTGTGATTGTCACCAACAGCAAGAAGAATTAACTGTAGAAGTAGCCCATGACAGTTTTCACTTCATCAAGTCATTCTTAATCAAAAAGTTGCTGATAAACAAGTTCGTAACCCTGATGTATCAGAATACTACAAATCACCAGCAGGCAAGCAACCATGTCAATTGACACAACAAGTAACTAAATTAATTAACCCAAAAATAAAGTTATTGAATTTCTGGTTTTATTTCCCCCAAAGTGAGGTAACAAACTATAAACCCCAAAATTGAATATTTTCTTCCCTACTAGTACTAGTTAAATTCCCTCCAAAACAGAATATTTTTGTCCTATGATTTGGATAGTTACAACTCAGCTGGCAGCTGATACTGGGGGTTTAGTAAATATCTGCTTGGTTACTCTTTTGGAAAGACTCCTTTGAGTGAAGCTCTGTCCCTAGGAACAGATAGGAGCATTCTTCTTCATAATTGGTGGGCTCTGGCCATAGCCTCTTGTTCTAGTTCACTGATTTTATTTGAGTTGAATTGCCATTGAGGCTAGTACTAGTTTGTGTTTTTGCTGTATTGACATGTTTTTGCTGTATTGACCAGATTGATGGCCTGGGGGGAAGAATTCTTGTTGATGCGAGCAAACATAAATAATCATACTTGATGCTTTCTAAGATGCCATCACACAACTAATATTATGATGTTGTTTTTTAACAGTTTGTTGTAATTTTTTTGAAGCAGATTGCCTATGGTGATGGGGTCCAGAATATTACCCAACTCCTGTACTCATCAGGGCTGATTTTGATTATGCTATGTTATCTCATTTGATCTTCCATTGGTGGGACCTACCACCATGGTGCTGGATTGATGCATCTTTTGTCTATTTGTTTGTTGAATTGCAGAAGGAACAAGAATAAGTCCCCAAAAACTTTGCTGTCTTGCGTCAGCTCAATGGAGCATTGCGTGAATATCTTGATATTGCTACTATTAGTGCTTTTCTTGCCACCTTAAAAATTGTTGTCGATATACTGGCAGAAGTTCTATGAATAGTAGGTGTAGCATTGTTGTTATTTTTCTCAATATAGCGATTATGGATCTTTCTTGCTGTAGTGTACGACAGCAGAGAAAATGGGAAAGAATCTCTTTCGTTCTGAATATCTGCTCCCTTTCTAGCTCGGTTTCTTTGGATCCCCACCACCTCTCCAAGAAAGAAGTTGCTATTCGTAGGGTACTGGCGCAGTGGACGAGTTGAACCTGAAGAATTCCCTGTAAATTGTTGGTGACTTTCACTCCTCGACATCTAATGCTCTACAAGAGTATCGTTTCGAAATCAAAACCCAAGAGATGGTTTCAAAATATTTCTGATGATGGCACGTACTTGCTCACTGCCACAGAGCTACTTTAGTTCCAGCCGTGTAAACGCATCCCCTCCGTCTAGGCTGTCCGCCGGGGCCCATTTCTTGATCAGCTTCTTTTCTCGCTTCAGCCACTCCCTCAGCTTCGATTTTAGAACCCCGCCACTGCCGTGGCCGTGGAGTATGTATACGGATTTCTGCCTGCTTAACTTGCACTGGCTAATCTTGTCGGTCACCTTGCTCTTGGCGTCCTCCAGGTTGAAGCCCCGGACATCCACCGTGTTTCCCTCGGTCCGTATCGTGAGAGACGACGACGCCTTCTTCTCCCCGACGACCTGCTTTTTGTTTCTCGTGTCGATGCCCTCGTTCTTCAGAGCTCGCTGAACCGCCTTCGAAGACCGCGTCGATTTTCCCGCGGGGCTCCTGGAGGTTCCCTGCTGCTGCTGTTTGCCGCCGTTGTTGCTTCCTTCGCCACCCATTACCATGGACAACTGGGTGTTTTTGAAGGTCATGCCAATCCCCGACACCTTGACCTGGACCTGCTTGCCGTTGTCCTTGATCACAACGGCTTCCCGGCCGAACAGATTTCCGGTCTTGCAGACTTTGAGCTTGTCTCCCTCCTTCAGCAGCGGTCGGTTCCGGATCTCGGCAAGAGGAACGAGTTCCTCGATGGCCTTGTTTAGAGCAGTGGCCGCTTGTTTCTTTTTCTTGAGAACGCTGGGAACGTTCTCGGCCTCGTTGATGGCGTCGCGTTTGACGAACTTGATGTCCTCCCAGCTCTTCGTGATGAGCTTGCGGGACGGGTCCGACTTGAGCTTGGTGAGGACGTCCTCGAGGATCTGCTCCTTCTCCTCGAGCTTTTTGGCAAACTTCCGGGCCTCGTCCCGGCGAGCCGTGAGCATCCGTTTCTCGAGCTTGATCTTGTTCTCCTTCATCTTGAATTCCATCTGGGCGATTTCTTTCTTTCGCTCCTCGATTTCCAGGACCTGGTTGTCGATCAGCAGCTTTTGGTCCTCCAGGTCCCGGATCAGGTCCCCCATCTGCCGGGTTTCGGAATCGAGCAACTCGTTGGCGCGGTCCAGGACCGTCTGCGGGAGCTTCAGCCGCTCGGCTACCGCAAGGGCATAGGATTCCCCGACCACGCCGGGAAGGAGCTTGTAGGTGGGCCGGTTCCCGACAAACTGCATGCCCGCCACGGAGAATCGATCGTCGGACGAGGCCAGCTGCTTCAGCTGCATGTAGTGCGTGGTGATCGCTACGCGGCAGCCGGTTTCCATGAGGGCCTCCAGCAGGGCCTGCGCGATAGCTACTCCCTGGTTGGGGTCCGTTCCGGATCCGAGCTCGTCCATGAGCACGAGGGCGTTTCCGGTCTGCGCCAGTGCCAGAACCTCACGGCAGACCAGCATGTGGCCGGAAAAGGTCGAGAGATCGGAATCGACGCTCTGGATGTCGCCAATGTCGGCCAGGACGGGGTTGAAAAAGTCCACCCGTGGCACGTAGTCGCCGTTGACGTCGCCGTGCGCCGCCGGAATCGGGATGCCGCTCCTGGACATGAGGGCCAGCAGGCCCAGCAGCTTGAGGATCACGGTTTTACCACCCGAGTTGGGCCCCGTTAGGACGAGGCCCTGGTTCCCATCGGCACCCAGGGAAATGTCGCTCCCGACCACCCGCTCGAGTTTTCGCAGCAGCAGCACGGGGTGCTTTGCGTCGCGCAGGGATATGACCCCCTCGTCCTCCACGGACGGGATGATCCCGTCGATGCGCTGCCCGAGCCGGCACCGGGCCACGATGAGGTCGAGCTGCGCCACGGCCTGCACCGATTTTCGCAGGTCGTGCTGGTTGGCCCAGACCTGTTCCGTCAGGGACCTCCACACGCGGGCCTCCTCCGCTTCCAGCTCGTGCTCGATCTGCCGGAGCTCGTTCGTGGGGCCAACGATTTCGCTGGGCTCGACGTACACCGTCTTCCCGGACCGGCTCGAGTCGTGGACGATTCCCAGCTGGGAGGCGTACTTCGGGTCGATCGGCAGGACGAGGCGGCCCCCTTTGCCACCGTTGTTCGAGGCGACCTCCGAGTACAGCGGGCCCCCGCTCTCCAGCGCGAGCTTGGACTTGATCGACGGCAGCTGGACGATGCTGTCCAGCGTTTGCAGGATGTCCGCCTTGAGGGTCCTGACCTGTGCCCGGAGCTGGCCCAGGACGGGGAAGGTCTTTCCCGAGAGCCGCCCCTGCTGGTCAAAGGCGTCCTCGAGCAGATCCTGCAGCGTGGTGTTGAGCTCGATGCCGTGGACGATTCGAGGGATTTCGACAAACATGCGGTCCTCCCCCGAGGGAGAGTCCTCGTCGACAACGCGCTCGAGCGCCCGGCCCCACGTCTGGATGTCCTCCATGGTGTTCATCATGGTCGAGATCTCGAGGATCTCCGGCCCCTCCAGCACCGCTCCCTGCTCGGAGCAAATGTTCAGTATGGACTCCAGATCGAAGGAGATCCCCTCCAGCGGGGGAGGATTCCCCTTGCCAATGGTGACCTGAATGCCGCGTCGGTTCTTGTAGTAGGCATCGCGGAGGTTTGTTTTGGTGGTCCCGTCCGAGTCCAGCAGCCGCTGCATCTCGAACACCGCCTGGTATCGCTCCCGGACCTCGCTGGCGCTGTCGGCGATGAGCAATGGGGCCTCCGGTCGGTTTTGTTTGTTTGGTTTGCTGTTTTTCTTTTTGTGTCGCTCCAGTTGTTTCTCCTGGGATTGGTCGGTCGCTTCGTCCACCATTTCTTTTCCGGGAACCGTAAAACAAAGAGCGCGCAGCGCCCCAAGGATCATGGGAAAGTCCAGGGTGTCGGACGACCGCTGAAACAGGTCGAGCGACTGGTCCTCGGGTGGCGACGACGGCGCCGATCCGTTCGTCTGCGATGCCTGGCCGCTCGGAGAGAAATCGGAGGAGAGAAAACCTACCCCCCTTTGTTGTTGTTGTTGTTGTTGTTGTTGTTGTTGTTGCTTGGAAAGCCACCAGTCGGCGTTGCTCGAGGTCTCCCCGTCCTCGTCCAGCTTCCTCGGCACGCGAAAGGTCGGATCCTTGGAGGAATCCCAGGTGTCCCGCTGGAGGGGCTGCCTCATCAGGGAATACCCGTCTCGACCGGCCCGGGCGTTGCTGTCGCTCGCGAGATCCGTTGCGCTCGATCGTTCGGTGCCGCTCCTGCTGGAAAAAATCGCGACCGAAGAACGGGTCGGATGGTGGCCGGTCCGCAGCACCGACCGTCCGTTCGGCGATTGGTAGGGGGAGGTTCTGCTGCCCGCGGTTGCGTCGAGCCTCGAACCGATGGCAAAGGCGTGGCAGGTGTGTTGTTGCGTGGAAACCATCAAGGCCAGGAAGGAAAATTTTAGCAGAGGGAGGAGGCAGCCAACTGCCGTCGCAGTCGTCGCCTTCCTTGGGTGTTGCATTGCGTGTCGTTGTGCATTGGTTCCTACCTGTTGCTGCACTCGCCTTCGACGGCAACCAGAGCGGTGGTCAGAACAGCCCATCATGCCTTGCCGACAAAATAATAGATGTTGCCGTGGTGATATACTCTCTGTCTGTTGCGATCGAGTAGTCGTACGGTACTGGTGCGGACTCTTTGTTGCTTTCGTGTTGTGCTGCCGAGGCTTTGTTTTCTCGCATTCCCTTCTCCGCTTCGTCGTTCGATTTTTTTTCTTCGAAGACTCATCGAAATCGAAACATCGCAATCGAAACATCGCAACATCACATTCATGCTGAGTTTCCCGAGCGAGAATTTTGTGTGAGTCACCGCGCGCCACATTTTCTCTTTCGTCCGTTGATACGTAAGCACAAACTCAAGCGAAAAGGTGTGAGGAGACGAGCGAGAAACGAGGCTCACCCTACCCAGCCCGCTTTTTTTTAATTCTTCGCGCGTATTTTTCCCTCCTTTGGTTCCCTCCGCCAACAGAATCACCATGCTACCTTTATACACTACGTAGTGTACGAACAAACCTGAGTCTTCCAACACTACTGGCTTCGTATGCTTTCTGGTGGTATTACTACTACTACTAGTACTAAAAGTCGTAGCGGTATTTGTGGCATTTATCAATGAATACTTCTACTAGTAGCTATTGATGATATATTACTACTAGTAAAGTACTGCTTTCCCTCATTCTACTAGCTAAAACAAGAGACAAACAAAATTGCTGTCTTGTTTGTTGCTTCTACTAGTGCTACTGGTAGTTTTACTACTAGTATTAATACTACTATTACTAGTGATGCTGGTCAAAACTAGTAGAAGTACTGGTGGTACTAATGATTGTACTTCTCGAGAAGAGGGCGCAAGAATTGTACGCACGGGTAGGCAACTAGCCAAAGAACCAAGAATGGCAACATTACAGCTATGCTAGCAATGGAATTCGTACAGATAACACAAAACGGGTTAATTTTTACTCATTTTTACTTGGACTCCGATTTTGGATTGATTCTCCGAAATCCGTTGTCTTCGACGACTTGTTCCATTCGATGTCTCTCTATATTTACAAAGATTTCCAGTCAGGGTTGGGTACTGTGTTTCTTTTGAAACTCCTTCGTTTCGCTCCATTCGCCCCTTGGAGAGAAAGCGAGCATGTTGGCCAGAACAGGTCACAAAGTCTAAACCCTCCAGAGCTCCGTTACGATTCGGTTCGAATCAATCGACCGATACTATTATTTGTTTATACGGAAAAGACCAATCGTCCCTCGGGGTCGAGAACGGCCTGGGGGAACATCATACCGTCGATCTTGTGGATGATACCATTGGATCCGCTAATGTCGGTCGTGCTGATCACTTCCTCGTTCACCGTGACGACATCTCCCTTGACATGGAACTCAATGGTCTCTCCCTGGAAGGTGGTCAGGATGAGTCCGTCCGTGATGTCACTGGACTCGTATTTGCCTGGAACAACGTGGTAGGCGGTGATGGGAATCAAGAACATCGGATCGATGGTCTTGAGGTCGTCTGGGTTGGGCAGGACCTCGGCGAAGGCGGCGTTCGTGGGGGCGAAGACGGTGAACTCGCCCGGGAGGTTGACCAAGTCGCTAAAGCCCGCCAGCGTTACCATCTCGACGAACTGGGACAGGTCGGCATCTCCGACCGCTAGTTCGGCGATCGAGAGCTCATCCGGGACAGGTGCGGGTGCATCCGGGGCAGGTGCGGGTTCTAGAACGGATTGCGGGAACATAACGCCCTCGATCTTGTGGATGATACCGTTGGAGGCGGGAATGTCGACCGTGCTGATGATCTCTTCGTTGACAGTGACAACATCATCCTTGACGTGGAATTCAATGGTCTCTCCAATGGTGGTGGTCAGAATGAGCCCATCCGTAATGTCGCTGGCCTTGACCAAGCCGGGAACAACGTGGTAGGCAAGGATGGTTCCAAGGATCGCTGGGTCTACGTCGGCAAGTTGTCCGGCATTGGGAAGGACCTCAAGGAACGCACTGTTCGTGGGTGCGAAGACGGTGAACTCACCGGGGAGGTTGATGGCGTCCATGAATCCAGCGGCGGTGACAACATCCACCAAGAACGAGAGGTCCGGGTCGGAGGCGGCAACCATGGCGATGCTGTTGCCTGCCTCGGGAGCTGGTGGTGCCTCGGGAGCGGGAGGTGCCTCGGGAGCTGGTGGTGCCTCAGGCGCGGGGGGTGCCTCGGGTTCCGGTGGTGGGGCGAGTACGGACTGGGGGAACATTACACCATTGATGATGTGAATGACTCCATTCGAGGCCGGAATGTCGGTAGTGCTGAAGGTCTCCTCATTAACAGTGGGCACACCGTCCTTGACATGGAATTCGATGGTCGAGCCCTGGACGGTGTCTAGGAGGAGTCCATCGGTGATATCGCTGGACGCGACTTTACCAGGCACCACGTGATAGGCAAGGACTTCCAAGAGAATCTCGGTGTCGATGTCGTCGAGGTCATCGACTGATTCGATAACCTCGAGGAAGGCATCGTTCGAGGGAGCGAAGACGGTGAACTCAACATCAGCGGGGAGGAGATTGGCGATTCCAGTCTTTTCCACAACGGCGACCAAGATGGAGAGGTCGTCCAAGGATAGGGCAGTCTCAATGAGGTTTCCGGGTCCGGCAGGTGGGTCCACAGGATCAGCAGGAGGTGCAGGTGGGTCCACAGGATCAGCTGGTGGTGCAGGTGGGTCCACAGGATCAGCTGGTGGT